ATCAAGTACCGTAGAATCATTCAATTACTCGAGGAAAAGTGATGGATCGTTTTCTGTCGATTAACGCAACCCAAATATATCCTCTTAGTCAATAGCAGTGAAGAGGTACTTTTATTTGGCCGACAAAACACTTGCAGCTGTGAAATTTCTAGGCCCCTCAGCGGTCGGTGCGCATGTACCTGTCTGTAATGTTTTCCAATTGTAAAATGATTTGTGATATTTACATGGTAGCGCTGGAGGCGGCAGTCCTCACGTGAGTTGCAGTCCAACGTCTCGTGTTACTCCTTTACTGGCTGTGTGCCTGCCGGTTTACTTCAACTCGGCGTTTAGTGCAGCGATTCACATTCAGTGACGCTTGGCTTGTTGACTGTGAAACATAAATTCAGGTGATTAATAACTCAGTCACGGTGCAACCCTGTTCAGCGTGCGAAAAATGACGTCGGCACAGCTCCTGGCTTGTTCACTGGTCGCTGTTTTTAACGCATTGCCTCGTGCCTCAATAAATTAATGACACTAACTGAGTGCCCGTGTCACAACAATGCACGTCAGACGTTTTACGCGTTAACTTGGAGTCCGCCTCGCTTTTAGGACAATAATAAATACACTTCCATGGGTTGATCAAGTGATCTGGTTATTGCGTATCTTCCTAGAACTTGTGAAGGTTGTGTTCTCTTAATTAGCTTTTTCACTCGTTTCGTCTTGACATTCATGGATCTGTTGTCCTATTTTTGTTATTAAATTTGAGTTGATCTATTCCCTAAACCCACGCACTAAGTGTCCATATTTTTTTGTCCAAACTCACAAAATTTGGACATGGTGTTTGTAATTTATGCAAATACTGATCATATATGTATAATACATTTTCGTAAAATGATTATGCTTCTGCATTTTATGTACTTCTTTGTTTATCTGAATCAAAGCCATTCACATTTGGTTGATTAGGTATGAAAACATGAAATACATCTTATCTTGGACCTGAAGCTGATGACAATTCCTGATCCGAAAAGCCGCTATCAAGAGGTTGTCATCTTATGTAAATTTTAGCATCATAATTTTTTCTCACAAGTGTTTTAATGGCCGACTAAAATGTGTTCTGTTACTGCTTTTGGCACTTTACAAGCTGGAAACAGCGCCCCAGGGAACTAACCAAATCCCAACGTCGTGAACGTGAGACATTCACCAGATTCCCTGTAATTACAAAAAGATTAAATTCGAAGGGTAAATTCAAAGAAAGAATATAGATGCCCAATTTTTTCTGACACATTAAGGCCAGTCAGTATGAAGACTAACTAAATGCTAACATTCGGGCACCTGCAGTTTGTGTCCGTTTGGAGATTTTCTGATAATGAATTTCTTACGTTAATGACTTTTTTCAGAGGTTGTTTACAATTAGTGGCTCTTGTGTTGATGCGCTAGAAGTAAATGAAAAAAATAACAACGTTGATGGCCGATAATATTCAAAAACGCATTTTTTCAACATTTTGGTAGATTGGAAATCGTCTGTAGAGCTGAAATCGTGTAACGTTTTACACACTGATCAGAGTACCCTTCTTTAAAAGTTCATCGGCGCCAAGCAAAGTGGCCTGCGTCGGTTGGGTGGCAGACCTATCAAAAGCCATCAAACCTGACAACACCCTTTAGTGTAGAGAGCCATGCTTGGCTTACTACACGGGTTGTCCTGTGTTGGCAGCTGAAAAAATTAGCCGAATGGCTCTGCCAAACTACACAGTGTGTGTGTGTGAAATGAACGGCGCTTTTTGTATCCTGGTGTCTTTTCATTTTTTTTATAATCCACTGCTTGTTGTATGACCAATCTGCATTTATGAATATTTAAATAACCCGCATCTTCTTTATTGATGCAATGAGACCCTTTAGCCAAATCAAATCTATGCTTGATTGGTGGTAATAAATGCCGTGTCTAGCACTTGTCTTTTCGTTGACTATTTGGGGGCAAGAAACAACGCTTCTGCACCTGGAAAACATTTGCTAATGAATTCCAAGCTAATCACTGACAACGGCAGTTGCGTGCTTATCGTCGAATAGGCCATGTGTTTATTAGCCCCTTTCCCATGTTTATAAAATAGGCCAAGCAACCAAACCATACCTGGTTAATGGAGACCTACCCGATTCCACATAAGGCAGAACCACCATTTAAAAGAACATTAAAATTACGCACTGCATATTTTAGAACATCCTAGAAATACGCTGCAAAATTTGCCGATTAATAAGTTAACTGCGTAACTTACTTCTGACGCAGTTAGTCCTTTGTACACATGACTTATAGAGCGAATTTCACACATTTTTGGATACCACGTGAAATAATGTTTAGGAAATCCTCATTCTTGGGCGCCTGGCGCATCCTTTGGGTTTGAAAGATATGACCTCACCAATCAAGCGTTGTTTTACTAAAGGGAAGTCTTCTGATGGTTTCTGATTTTTAAAGACTAATTTTGCTATTAGTTGCTCTCCAATGAGAATTTTCATGGTTAGTCAGTAAACCAGCCATGTTTTTAAGGGAAATTATTCAATTTTACATGATTTATTCTGAATTCAATTGACACTTTCTAAACTTGATCGCTTTCGAGCAAATTGTGGTCAAGTTGAAAAAAAAAGCATGAACCGACTCGAACAATCTAATTACTTTCGATCGATTTTATTTCCTCGATGAAACCTATACAATTATGTCGCTAGCTTTAATTATACACGGCGTGATAGGTGAAAAATCAACACAAAAAATTATGTACAATGGGCATTAACAACACTTGCAAATTGGCAAATGTTGATTTAACCGGTAGAAATTTAAATAAGTAGACTGTTTATATAATAATAATGGCCTATTTAACAATGACAAACGGGTGTAGATATGTGTGCAACTAACTGATCACTACAGCCAGATGTATTACACATTGCAATGCACCAAGACATAGTCTTTTATTAGAAAGTTTGGACAGCTACACTTGGCTTTGAAAGCAAAATTCTTGTTGATTTTTCATCGTTTCATCAGGAAAACGGAGGTCGGAATTCATCGTTTCTGTATGAAATGCGTCACTTTCACTGGGTGGAATTAGAAACATCACCATTTCAAATAAATTCCTGTAATTTAATTAAAGGTCACTTGTTGACCAATTCTGTAAACGGTGTGAACCTGAATATTATACCTACATTTCTCTTTTTGTCACGTTCAATTGAGGTATTTTAACATAGAGAAGCCGAATCATTTCTTTAACTAAGAGACAAACATTAATTGCTCAGTAAACATTGGGTAGTATTATTCTTAGAAGATGTTTTGACATTGCATTGTCTTGGAGGTTTCGTCAGATTAATTTATCGGGTCCAAATGGCTTGGTAACTCACTGTAGGTTATTTTAAGTTTACAAATGACTGGTGGTTTAAACATCATGAGCTATAATTTGAAAATTTTACGATAATTACAAGGTTTGAGGAGAGCAGCTAAAAACACTGCTACGATGTCAAAACGTGGTGGTCTGTTAGGGGCTCTGAGCAAATTGAAAAGGCCAGCCATGTGGAGAGAACTGAACCGCTCAGTACCATCTTTATATATCAGTCCTACTACAATCCGGTCAGTAAAAATGTTGTTTTACTCATGGGCGAAATTTCGCACAGTAAGCAGTAAATTTTGTTAATGAGGACAACAAACAGATGCACAAATTACACAATAAAATTTAACACAGTGAGATCCAAATTTGTTGTTTACAGAACCAGGTTATATAGCTTGCATACCATTTCTGCAAGAAAAGCCAAATGAGCACAATGAAAGTTGATTGCGTCCCCGGAGTCAAGACATCACAGCAGGGAAAAGAATTAAATAGTAATTCGCAATTTTTGGAGCGTTTTGCAAATTTAACATTCGATTGTCAGATGGTGACATGAAAATCATAATTTCTATAACGCCGACTGAAAAATATGCCAAGAGTTGCAGTGTCACGCTATTTGCTTCTTAATAGGAGAAAATATCAGTTCGCAAAAATTGTCTAAAGTTGTTTCAACCATCAGATACTCAAATTATACTTTTTATATGCAAACCATACAAGGGAATGTCATTTTTAGCAATTCGGGAATTCGGGTAGGACGTAATAAATTGATTTAGATATAATATTTAAAAAATTGTCCCTTTAATTGTGAGTACTCTTTTGTGACTGAAAAACTCTAGCTGACGCATAATAGATTCTATCTTTCTTGATATAATAGTCTTTAGGAAAGCACTCAGATCTACCTATTCAAATGGGGTTTTATTAATCAGCCACAAATTCCTGTCATACGCATGCTATTACGTAGAAATTGGAGTTATTTATATAGACTCAGGTCGAATATATATTTTATTAATACTCTGTTTTAAATCACCAATATGTGGATTTAAAGAGTGTAAATCAAGGGGTCATTACTGGGGAGAACGCCGCCCTCAAAATATAAATTGTGAGCAGAATATTTAAAAAAAAATACACTGATGTTGTTCCGATTGAAATATGTGCCGCGCACTTTGTTAAATTCCATATCCAAAGTAAGAATCAAAAACCTTTGCCTATTAGTTCAGTAATTAAAGAAGACATAAGTTGTTAGCATAAATACACCTTCGGTACCAGCATACAATGTAAAAACTTAAACACACCGCCACGTTAAACCAAACTTTCTAGTAACACTTAGGCTTTTTAACACTAAGTCAATCATCTAATATTTAACCATGCCTGTTATGAAAAATTAGTTTGACTTAAACTCAGTGAAACTCATCATGGAACAGCCTCTTGAAGTTAAAATGCACAGCACTTGTAATTATTCTTTGAGCCTTGGCAACCGCATAGTTGCCTCGGGCAAAATGTTGACCTAAAAATTGGAAATTAAAAATAAACTAAAAAACAAATCGAGTTTTTCGGAATATCCAAGTCAAAGTAAAAGTAAAAATATAATTATTTGTTTGCTTCATGATAGCCAATCAACCGCGGCCGCCTTGATATCAGTAGCGCTAATAGGAATCTGAGGTGCTCATGGCTGGTTCCCGAAAATCTCAACTGAAAATCGAACCGAGCAATGAACTGGACTTTTTTGGTAACTCTTTCCCCAATTTTCGGTAATTTTTTTAAGGTCCATTCACTACCGTGCAGCCTTCCATAATTAATTTAACAAACCCCACCGATAATCGAATTACTTTTAAAGTTAAAACAACAGTGCCAAAACGGTACTGCGTTCGTCCTAGCTGTGGTATAGTTGAGCCTTCAGAGACCGTGAATGTCGCGGGTAAGAAATTTTTGGTCGAAGAAATTCTTGTAGTTATGTTGCAGCCGTTTGACTGCGATGGAGCTGAGAAAAACAAACATAAATTTATGATTCAATCAATGGTTCTCGAAGATGAAAATACAGAAAATCTAGAGCAGATTGTAATTTATTTTGAAAAATTTGGTAATATATTTTTAGTGGAAAGAGGCCAACCCGTCGCAGATCAGTGATACGCGCCTTAAGTGCACCCTAAGGCTTCCTGATGACTTACTGAAATGTGAACCTGAAGAGCTTGTATTCGAAGGTACGTTTGTGTATAACACTTCCAAAACCTTAGGTCCTGCAAGTGAATCCTCCACCTGCGTTTTGTCCGTAAGGAACACATCGCCTAAGGACGTAGTCTTCAAAGTTAAGACCAATGCGCCTAAGCGATACGTAGTTACTCCAAACGAGGGCATTATCAAGGCACATGAAACTCAAATGATCAAAGGTAACTATGATTTGTAATATTCACCTCTGAAGTGGCAACCGTCGCCGGTGTTGACTCTGCTGGTGAATCACGAGATAGGATTGCCCTGTTATCCGTACTAGCTCCGGATGACCTTCCTGCCTCAATCAGCGACATCGTATGCTCTTTCATTCCCTTTACCTAATAACAACTTATAGTGGCACACGGTGGACAAGGCTAAAATTTCGGAGAAGTTCCTTGCGTGCAACTTCCCCAATCAAGAACAGGTTTGTCCCTCGGTGTTTTATAAATTTACTGGACGTGCGGCGACCACAAATAACATTTCTTTTTATTACGGAGTTTATTCTTTTTAACATAGGGGATCGCACCTAACCAATCGAACAAGCTTGCCCAGCTTACCCAGGAAATAGAGAAGCTTCGTAAGGAAAATGAGGAACTCAAAGTAAGTGAATTGGCATTTAAATTTTGCAGTGTTCTAAACCAATATTTTCACACCAACTGTTCTTTTACATCTCATCGTTTAAACTATGGCTTTATTGTTGCGATGCGTAAATATTGAAACCGTTGTACTTTCATTTTACACACGAATTTTGTCCAATTAATTTTGGTTGGGCCATTGTTATATCGTCCTGGACTGAAAATTTTCATCGCTTGTCCCAAAGCTTGATTACTACAAAATTGAATCCAGATATTTCTGTACACTTTCAATCTTCCTGGTAGCTCATGAACCCGAGATTGTGGGATCTCTGGGTGGTGGCATCGAGTCGTAAATGTATCACTCTACTCTCGGCACATTATAGAGCCTGGTGACTCACATCGATATACAACAGCTATAGGCCGCTGAATCACGGGTCCCGTTCGTAGCACCCTAACCTCTCACCCGGTTTATTTTAATCTTCGAGTTAGTAAAATTTGGCCCAATCCATAAAGCTGAGACGAAATCTGCTGTACTGAGGCTTCATATTCACCCCTGGCAGTGATCCACTTTAAGTTATTCAGTCCTTGATGTCTAGTTATAATTACCAGGTATTTTTCGTTCGATTTGCACAGCAAAATACAACCTGATTTTCACTACGTGATAGCATGCAGCTCACTGCATTCCAGAATAAGACATGTAAACTAGAATTCGCTCTGCGAGAAATTAAGTCTAAAGCGATGCTACAGATCATCACTCTAAAATGAGTTACTGCTCATCACACTGTTTAATTCAGCTAGTATCCTTGTCGTTAGGTCAAGGTTTGTGGTGAAAAAAGCACGTTGCCGAGGAAAATTATTTGCTTCGGCTAAACCTGTTTTTCAAGGCCCTAGTTTCATGCGTTGATGAACTAGATCAGGTTATCCGAAGTACCAATTACAAATATCGCCAGATAACTTGCGAACTCAAATAAGTGTCACGGGTAGTCAATCATGAGTAGTCTGAATCCGTAAATCACGTTGATTAAGCTCTATCAACTGACCATCATATGCCTCTCCTCACTTTATAAGTACACATTTTCATGTGAAATTAGTCGAAGACGAAGGGCACTGGAATGATTTCACACGTTACACTGGTTTTGGATAGTCAGGCGAACGTTGCTGCATATCTAGTTCAACAATTGAACATTTCCTTCCAAGCAAACGTTTACTAGTAATAATCACAACCACGTGCATCCCACCAACCTGTATCGTTAAGTCACGTAATCACTGCTATGCGTCGTTTCGGTGACAACCTACTTGGTTGGTCACTGTGGCTTCTTGCATATTTGACTGCTTTTGGCGAGAGTAATGCCTCAATCCAAAATGCCCATTCTCTAAGAAGACTTTGAATCCATGGACGATCTCCTAGTGAATGGCGAGTCAGGTCGTTGACGCCGTCGCCACTTCGACCAAACGGCTCGTGCAGCACGTTCGACGTCAGCCTTAAAAGATTGCACTGGGCATGCGACCGTCAGGATAGGTTCACTAGACCGAAGGAACCAGAGGTGTCCCCACGACGTGTGTGTGTTTAGCCGAATGTGCCCATGTCGGTTCCGTCACTAAACCAAGATGAGGGCATTCAGTGAATGTGCTCGTTTATTTCTCGCCAAGTATTCTGATGCATTAGAGTTCACTGCGCTGTTCTGTACCACTGCACTTGTACTCTGCACACTGGACCGCTTTTGCCTTCAGGCGTCGGTGTACACAGTAGCCTAGGCACTAACGGGTCTGATTACCAGAGGATATTTAACCATCTTATCTTCTGTCCAAATAAAGCTGAAAGCGTGTGCTGTGCATTTTTGGGAGCAAACTCGCCGACGTAATGAGTCCATTCGATGGGTGTCAGGTTTTAAGCGACTTTGCTTCCGTTTCACGCTTCTCAAACCGTATTACCATGGAATTGCATCAAGGCAGTAGTCTCGAATGCCTTGCGCGGCAACTGTTAACAAGACTGGCATACTGTTCATCGGGAAGATATGAACACGGTTTTATCGTCCCTGCGACCTTGCTGGCACATTTGTGCCCGGTCACATGCCCCACCATCGCGCTAATAATGCCAGCGATTGTGCCATTTGAACAACAGGCTTCCTTATACCCCAATTCATCCTTATGTGTACCAACACATCGACCGGTGGGTCTCCGCAATGTGGTGCATGAAGAGAGACTTGTGGTCTTCGAGGCTGCTTGAAGGGCCTTCATAGACCCTGAGTGAATCTGGTCCTAGTCCTGTTCGTGTAGTGCTCAGTCTGTGACATTTCTGGCCTGTTCCGCAGTTTCTGATCACGAATTTGGTTTTATGGAGTTGGACTGATAACCTATGGTGCGTTCGTTTCGAGTACGACTACAAAGGCTCTTTGCCAACCTCTAATCCGACCTTTTGTACAACCCACCATCGTAACGTGTTGTTCTAAGGTGATGTTTCGAAATATTTCACTCACACTGCGACTTATCTGTGGCCCTTTAAACAAGAATCGAGCTAACCGTGTCTGGTCACAGTTGTGCCATTTTGAAAATACCCTACCCTTGTCCTCCTGGTAGCAATTGCATCTAACCCCTTTACTCCCATTTTAGCACCATCAAGCCGTTATGAACAGACTTGGTCGTGAAACATCTGCCCCAGCACCTGTTCCAGCGGCATCGGGTCCCATGGATGCTTTCCGGATGAACATCCCGCCGATTCTCTACCTTCTCGTAACCTTCTTGTTTGCTCTCGCTGTGGGGAAATTTATCCTCTAAGCAGCCATCTTCGCCACCATCATAGTCTTTTCATTTTCTCACCACCCGTTTCCGTGTCTATCGTTGTACTCCCTGGCTCCCTGGGCCACCCGTTTTTCTCATACTCCCCTGTGTATAGTTTTAATCTCATTGTTTGTCTGCACGTAATGTGCGAAGATACTCTGAGATTGGTGGTAGTAAGAGTATATAGCGCCAAGCCATTTTAGACTGCTTTGGCGGATACTCTTCTTTCATTCGTTCATTTTGATCATAACCATTGCTCGTCCCGCAAAACTGCACACCAGCATCTATAACTTCTGTCGCTGCTAAGAGAATACAAAGATATTGATGTTTAAGTTGGTCTATAAAATCAATTTCCCCGGCTTTGATTTCTGTTTTGTTCACACAGAGTGATAATTTTCTGAGTGACGTGTGGCGAGGGTTCGGGTGCACGTAGCTGTGACCCTCAAATTGCACATGCATTACTGGTGCTTTAGATGTTTCGCCTTGGCTTCACAGTATTTGATATTAATGGTCTTGGTTGATTAGCGGGCGGGTGGTAGGAGTCGATTTAGCCCCTTCTTAGTGGAGGCTACTCATAACCTTTCTCCCACTAGATCCCGCACAAGAAGAGTTCTTAGGTACTTTCTCGTGATATAGTTTGTCAAGTTGTGCTAGGTCAAATTGGTTTGTCCTTGCCTTACTGTTGTTAGGTCGTTTGTACAAGTGTGTGATGGTTCGGTGTCTGCGTAATGTTTCGAACGAAACTCATGAGTTTTGGAAAAAAATACAATTTTGACGAACTGGAAGAATACGCTAGCAACATAGACTTGCAACAATAACCTGGTGCTCTCGCAGTGGCGCCGTTCTAGAGGTCAGTATCACAACTGCGCAAAACACGTAAGCGTGAATATGAAAGGTAGGCATGTATTGAATGCCAATTAGGAAAAAGCTCCGTGTCTGTTCACGATGGGAAAACGAAACACGAAATCCCAAAACGGAGCTGGAAATCAGTGGTGGGAAATGCAGGTTTTGGTGTGTGATCCACATTTACTCAGGATTCATTGTAGATATTTAAAAATATTCGAGTTTAATAGCATCTTCCTTATTCAGAAAAACACTCCTTGCGATTCCTGCCGATAAAATCGTCGAGAAGTAGAACCTCACAATAAGACAGATTATAGTGGGTTGTACAAAAGGTCGGATTAGAGGTTGGCAAAGAGCCTTTGTAGTCGTACTCGAAACGAACGCACCATAGGTTAT